GCTCCGTTTTTATGTTTTTTTTTAAATTGAAATTTTTATTTATTTATTTATTTTGTATTTTCCAAAATAATTTAATTACAACTGGGTTTCCCTAAAATNGAAAAAAATGTTTAATAAAATCTTAGATAATACATATGTATAACAAATTAGGCCTATATTATTTTACAATTTTTCACATTTACTTGATTATTACGTCATAATTTTAACATTGTTTCCATCACAGCGATAATACTGTGACGTTTAAGATTGATGCTTGAATTTAAAGATTGAGCATTTTTCACAGCTTCGAGAATTTTTTCTTTGCCTTTTATAATTGTTCTGACCGACAATTCCGGTAGATCAAACTTCTTTGCCAATTCACAAATTTTCATTTTTGTATCGAAGTCTTTAATAATGGGTACGTTCGTAAAGTCAAACGAGTTAAACGCATTAGTAACGATGACTTTATTTTCGCTTAACTCGTTCGACTTTACGAACATACCCAATGTTAACTTTACATTCCAAAGATAAAGTTTTTCTTTTCTTGTTTGATGCAGAAGAATTAGTTCTACTTCGTTTGGATGACATAGTAGAGTCTCTCAAGTCTCTGTAGATATAACAAACACAGAAATAAATAACACAAAATAAATTGTAGCTATGTGTCAATTCTGCGCGACACATCCGAACATGTAAGCTGAACAGTAGTGTGGGGGGAGTGAGTAATCAAGGGTTGCGTGGCGCTCAAAAGACGAATCGACGAGATTTGAAAATTGCGTAACTCCGGGTTCGCGTAAGTCGAGGTATTACTGTACATAAGAAATATCAATATGTTTAACATGAAGTTCTTGGTTTCTTGGAATAGACTTGATATTCTTTTTATTTGTTTAAGAGATACATTTAAATAAACAAACATCATTACTAAACAAGATACATTTAAAGCTATAAACCAACCAAAACCAAATATTATCAGGCTAGAAACAGCTATAATATTAATAATTTAAGACAATTTGGCACTAGAGTTAGGCATTAGGTGCCATCTCATAATAAATTTTATAATTATAATTATTAAATTTATCATTATTTATTATTAATTATAATTATTACTATAATTATAAATTGGACCAGAGGTCCAGGTAGCGTAATTGGAAACGCATCTGTACAGTAAGCAAGAGTTGAGGGTTCGAGTCCCACTCCGGGCCGATTCTTTTCTTCCAGTGGTTCTAAATTATTTAAAATTATAATTACTGTATATTTGTGCAGATAAGATGATATTGAATCATAAAAAAAGACCTCCAAAATCCAGAGTCGTCTTACAGGACAGATACAAAAACAAATTAGAGTGAAATTTATATAAATTAAAACCATTATAAAAAACGGACAAACCATAATTACTTACTAGTAAAGAGTAGGGTATGTCCACAAAATAGAATAGCCCATATGATGTTTTTGTGAATAGTCAAGGTCATTACCCAAATGCCTGAATTAGTGTGAATGTTTGCAATAATTGCGAGGCAGTGCTGCCAAATGCAAGAAAATAAAATTTGTTCATTCAAAAATTACAAATAGGACAATTCTCTATAGACACTATCCTGCTATACAGTATTATTATTCAGATGATGATTACTGGTCTAAACTAAATTCTTAAGCCATTGATAGTTCAGGGGTCGTCTCATAGGCCAGATATGTGCTAAAACTATAAAACTTTGACAAAAATTTATAGCTCATCTTATCTGAAGGTTGTCTTATCTGCATAAATATACAGTATTAAATTTATCATGAGATGGCACCTAATGCCTAACTCTAGTGCCAAATTGTCTTATAAATTATTAATATTATAGCCGTTTCTAGCCCGATAATATTCAGCTTTAGTTGGTGTATAGATACATTTAATTTAATTAGTTTCACAATGATTAGTTATTTGCACTATGTCTTAATATATTGACAATTATATATCACCTTAATGATTGAATATATCTTCAATTGTTAATTCAGATTAAAAATTTTGTATAATTATACTCCATGTGAGGATAGCAACACCACTGTAAGGTATCATAGCCTGATAAATGGTCTGCCTTAGGTAGAAGGAACAGTGACCCATGCTGTTCTCGTATGAGGGGCAGGATGATGAGAGAAGTCTTTTTGATGTATGGGGTAGTGGTTGCTGGACGCAGAGAGACTCACACAGAGATCCAAATTTACAAATTTAACGCATTTATTCAAATAAAGACATGCTTACATAAGTGAAGACACTACTACTGTCTCCTGAAAAACAAAGGAGAGTTCATCTTTGATGATAATATGTGATAGTAGGGTCCTTAGAAGGTTCATCTCTGATGATGATAGGTGATAGGATTCAGAGAAAGTTTGTCTCTGATGAAATGGTGTTACAGTAGACCAGGTGGTGAAAGTACTCGCCAGGAAGTTAAGTCCCATGTCCATTGATTGCACTCAGGTAGCATTCGGGGTCCTCAGTATTCTGGGGATGCTTCGGGTATGGGTCCTCAGGACCAAGATTACTCTTCCAAACTTTCCTGTGCCCTTGAGATTTTGGGCTTTTGTGTGATTTTCACCCGAAAACCTGTTTTTTGGTTGGTCTGAACAGTGGTCTCCTATAACTCAATTGGTCCCTAGTGATGTGATTTGGGCCGCAGGGTTGGCGGACATCCCTCGTCTGGTCTACGTCCCTCTGGGTTGGGTCATGCCCTTCCCTGAGTGATGGTCCCATGAATTTTTGTCTAATATGTTTTTCTGACTCAGATAAGATGCTGCTGGGTTCAATCGGTCCCTGCTGCTGCCCCCTCCAAAGGAGCACCCGCAACTTCCGCTTTGAACTCTGTGTAAGGTGACTGCCAAACTTACCCCGGAGGTTGATCTCCCACTCACTTCCACAATCTATAACCAGGGATATGTCAATTAGGTCTAGGAATGCAACAATTAAATTGTATCACACCCCATTCCTTTGAAGCCCCGGTCCTGTTTATGAAATAAGTTGCCGATTTATTGGTCCCGGTTTGACAGCCATATCGGAGAGCAAGGTCCTGGCCTCACATCCATCACAATAAACATATATATCAAAACTGTTTATTGGAGATTCATTTATAAAATTTTCAACTAGGCTCTTTTGAATTACATTTGTCTATCTTCAGAGTTGATTTGTGGTTTGAATATTACAGATTCCTCCATGGACATTTTAGAACATTTTGAATTCTTTCATGGATGTTCTGTTGGAAGAATAAGCATAGTAGTTCATAGCATCTACAGGTTTCAACTGTAATAAAATTATGAATGTGATGAAGTCTGTGGATAGAACTATACTTCCAATAGAATGTCCATGAAGAATTACACATTCTGCATTAGTATGTAGAGATGGGAAGTTGGTGAAAAGATACATGACTCTCAAGTCAGTATCTTTTTAAAATCAACTCCAACTTCTGACTCCCATAATAATATTTGACTCTGACTCTCCATCCCTGTTAATATGTACTTTTCTCCAAGTGTATTTAGTGCACAAAGATCTTTTTTTAGATGGAGTGTACAGTCTATTTTTGGTGTTGTATGTAGATCTTATCGGTTAAAAATTATGTAAAAAACTAATACAGTATTTAACTTGGTGTTTTTATTGTTATTTTCTGTTAAATTTACTTATTTATGTTCTTAAATATTATGATGAAAGTTCTATATTTGTATTTCATGAGGAAAGCTACTTTTTGCTCTTTGCTATTCTGCCTTGTAAATTAATAATAAATAAATAATATATTGTAATATTTTTAATGCAGAATTATATATATCAGCAGTAATTTAAAGAAGACAATATTGAAATGACATATCTAAGCATATTAATATAATTTTAAATAAAGTTAATGCAATTTGTTTAAATGATTTTATTGATAGTTTGAAGTAGTTATACATGATAAACAGTTTGGTTGATTATCCAATTAATTATATAAATAATTAATAAGAATTATATACAGTATATAAACAACAAAAGTTTATTAATCATGCAATACAAAGTGAGAAATTAAGTCATATGACTTCTTGCCATTTGCTTTTTAATATTTCTACTACTAGTATTTTGACTTCAGTCATTAAAAAAATATACAAGATGATCAGCAAATACTTATATCCAAACATAAACATCTGAGATGTAAAAATATTTTTCAAGTAAAAAATTTATCAAAATTTAGAATACAGTTAATTTTTTTTTCTTTGGTAAAGATAAGTTTGGCACTTCAAAGAAAAATGTAGGAAACAATAATAAAAATCTTGTGGGTTATTTATTTTGTTGAATTTTAATTATTGTTTTGCATTAAACTTGGGAGTTTAATGCTTCAAAGTGGTACCCATACCACCAGTGTTTAATGCTTCAAACATTTTTGCCGTAATCAAAGAAAAACTCCCAAGGAAAAAAATTTGACTGTCTTCCATAACAATTTAGAAGACAGTCAAATTATTTTCTTAGGAATTGTCATAATTTTTTACTTGGTGCAATTTTTTTACATTTCAGATATTACTTTTGTTAATGATTATGTTATTACATCAAGACTTAAGACAATGATTAATTAAGATTGAAATTGAAAAATGGTAAATAGTATAATTTAAACTATGTTTATTTATTAGGTTTTTTGCACTTTTGTTTTAATTTTTTTGACTAGCTCATTGACACTTGATCCAAAATTGATTATGTGAGGGGTTTAGAAAAAACATTTTCAGAAACAATTTTTATCAATATTAGATTATTAGGAATTCTCTTAAATTTTGCCTAACTTATACAGTGTTTTTAAGTCACAAACTCAGAAAATAAATTTACACCTTAGAAATCAACTCCAGCAAAAAGTTTAATCTTTAGTGAAATTCTCACAAACATATAATGATTGATGTATTATATAAATATATAGAATAACAAATGTTTAATTAATTTAATAAAAGCCATTTTATTGCAAAAAATGTTATATATTTAAATTAATACTTGAATACAGTATTGCAAATAAAACTGTAAATCATTTTATAATCTAATTTTATAGATATTCATCATCATCTGATAGTGAAGATTCAACTTCAGACAGAAAGCATTATAAATCCAGTCGAAGTAATTCAAGAAGTCGCTCCCGATCACGAGATTATTCCCGAAGGAGTCGTTCCAGATCCAAAGAACGTTCGCACAGAAGCCGGTCATGGTCAAAAGAAAGATCTCATAGAAGTCGTTCCCGATCAAGAGATAGAAATCATAGGAGTCGTTCTCGGTCTCGAGAACGTTCCCGTAGAAGACGGTCTCGATCTCATTCTGGTGGTAGAAAGCATGATTCTAGGTATAATTCCAGATCAATTCGCCGTCGATCACGATCTCGTTCTAGAAGTAAACCTTCTAGATCGAGTTCACAGAGTGACTCACGTTCCCATAATTCAAGAAAATCACGACGATCAAGATCAAAATCCCATTCACCTCATAGGTTGATATCATTTCCACTAAAGCTTACTTTTTTTTATAATGCCTATATAAATTTTCAAATAAGTTTTAAACATCTTAAATCATGTTGTTAATGTTCTAGGCAAAAGTCATCAACTGTACAGAATTCTAAAATGGTAAGTAAAAGCATATTTTCTGTATAAAAATACTAATGTCCTTTAAAATTCATTATTGTGTACCAACAACAAAAATCCTTTAAGATGCAGTTTTTTTATTTAAACTTCTAACACTTTCAATCAGTTGATTGACCTTCTTCAGGAAAAAATTGAATAATTCCTATTTATAATGAACAAAACTTATTTTAGAACGTTTTTAAAAATTTCTTTTAAATCTACTGTGCATATCCGGTATCAATAAGTACAATCATCTTAAGAACAATATAAATAGATAAGTACAATACAAGGGATAACAAAATAAAAATATAAAATAAAATATAAAAATAACACAAATAATGACATAAAAGGCTAAAAAAAATGTGCCTATTACTTTTACCATTCATGAATATTTTCTTACTGATATATTCATATTAAGCATGCCGTCTGTGCTGCCAAAACTTTATTTGATTCTCTAAAGTTTATCACTTGTCCTGCTTGGTTGTCTCATGTATGTGCTATGTCCTGATTAACAATATACATGTGAGGACCCAAAAATGAGTCAAAATTAAATAATTATTATTAGAAATTTATTAAAACGAAACTAGAAGAAAAAATCGTCTATTGTTAAAAACCGATCAAAGATCGAATTAGTTGTGTTAGTCATATGAAACCACGACAAGAGAAAAAAACTTTATTGATGTAAACCGAATGTAATATTTTTAAAGGATTAATTAATAATTGTAAGCAAACGATCTCCAGTAGAGATGGACCCTTGAAAAGTCGTTCATATGCACATAATTAGAACATAGAAATTTGGAAAAGAGGAAAGATTAATGACGAAAAAGGACATCGCGTCGTGTCGTTAAATTTCAAGAAACGTCACAGACTAGACAACAATGGTGGAAAATATGAGCGCAAGTTTCAAAGTTCCATCAACATTTTGCAGCCAGAATAGCGGATGGTGTCAAGTAGATTCTTCAAGGCGGATCTTTCTCGTGACTCGAAAAGGAATCGTTTTTCGCTTAGAAACAGACGAGGGAGCCAATCAGAAAACAAATTGGAGAACGGAGATTGATATAATCCCCGATCTTCAAGGACAGAGGGACTTCTTCCGTAAACTGTGCTACTGAGTACTTACACTCCAAAAAGTCCGGAGCGAAAACTCTCTGTGTGTGTCGACGCACAGAAACGCAGAGTCCGCACAAGTGTCCATCGAAAGAGCCGTGCCGCCGACACCTCCCGACAAGTCTCCTTACCCGCCACAGCCCCGAGGCCCATCTCCGAGTGACGAGAGACAAACATCCACGACGTCCAAACAGTCGACTGTATCTAGATAATTCTAGTTCCTAGGTGTAAGTTTAATTTTATGTATAAAATAAACGGGTTTTTGTTAGATTCTTGTCATCTGTGTCTCCTCCACCACACCCACACGCGTTCGACCCTTGATCATTCTGACGCGGGATTAACGATTCCCCCCCGGAAGTCGGCGAACTTTCACTGGTGTCCGAGAGTGGAATAAAAAGTTTCCAATCTCCACCAGGTCAGCGAACTTACACTGGTGTCAGAAGCGGGATATTTTAGTCCCACTAAAATTTAAGTAAGTTCCGCTGACAAAAGAATTTTTCTTCAAAGTGGGTTGAAGGATGGAGGCAGATGCAAGTGTCCCCGCGCGACCTCAAGACGGTGGCAATAGCGGTTCTCTTTCCTCCTTCTCCGCGTTTGGAGGAATGATCCCGACCTTCTCGGGTGAAACAGGGCGTGTCACGGATTTTTTTGACACGCTGGAAGAAATTGCGAGTCTAGCGGGATGGACGCCTAGACAATGCCTGAGCATAGCCAAATGCAAGCTCGCAGGCATAGCCCGAGACTTCGCGTGGCATGACCTCAGCATGAAATGCGTAACGGACTTTCAGACCTTCCAAAAGTTAATGGTTCAACGATTTGACCGAGAACCATATTCGATACGCGTACAGAAGTTTCACGCGTGCATGCAGAAAAGAGACGAAAAAGCACAAGAATTCGCAGTCCGATTGCAAAACCTGGCCAGCGCTACAATGATAGAGCAAACAGGCGCGAGTGAACAGGAGAACGTAATTATCAAACGCTGTCAACAGCGAGAATTGGATGAAAAGTTGCGAGTCCAATTTCTGCACGGACTGAACGATAAGCTGAAGCGACAGGTGATGACCCATGATCCGCCGACCTTTGCGGAAGCGCTGAAAGTAGCAATCCGCGAGGAAACAATAGATCAGCTAGTAGGAAAAACACGAAATGTAGTCGCCAGCGTCGACGATGCAGTAGAGGGTCGCAGTGCACAGTCTGAAGAAGTCAATTCGCGGAGAGAATCGGCTCTCGATGCAAAAATCGCGCAATTGTCGAAACAATTAGCAACCTTAGGAAAAAGACTCGATCAACCGCCAGCGCCTAAGTCAATAAATAATTCCCAAAGAGGAGAATCCTCACGTGTTAACCGGACACAAGGAACTGAAAGGATAAAAAATGAATTGAGAAATCCGCGTTATCCCCCGAGTCTCCCGCGCCGCGAATCACATCGATTTCCCCCGCGATCGCAACCCGCTAACCCGCAAGGACAACCCCGCGCGCGATATCCTTGCTACAGCTTCTCTTCTAATCGGAATCAGGGACAAGGTTTGATGCCCCCTTGGAGAGGGAGTGGAGATGGATTTTTAAACTTTCACGCGATGAACCCTAGTTTGGCAGGACACGGAGAGTACATGCCAACGCCCCTCGAGTGGTACGGAGGAAATGCTCCTTCTCAATTTCACGGAAGGTGGGAAACGAGTCGAGACGCACCCGAATGGCAAAACCCCATTAGAAAACTGCCGAACCCTTTTAGAATGAGTCAAGCCGAACCAATACCTTCTTTCCCTACACAATTTAAACAATTTGCATACGACAACAACGGACAAGGTGTTCCGTTGCCCTTTTATTCCCCACGTTATGGTCCGAGTTGGTCCGGAAGTAGCTTCGATACAGAGCGCGCGCCGAACAACGTAGCCGCTCCTCGATTTTTAGCATTGCCTGCACCGGAAGATAGATCGGTAGACCGAAAACAAACGCGAGACTTGGACAGAGTTCCATCGGTAACGTTTAGAGAAGAAAATTTCGAAACAAATCGACCGCCGATAGGTCCGAATGCAACCCAATTAGCAGGAATCAATAACTCAAGGAGTAGAGAATTGCCTCCTTGTACAATGGTTTGCGAGATAGAAAATAGAGAGGTTCAGCTAACCATAGACACAGGCGCAGCTGTTACTTTGATTTCTAGAACTCTATTTCCCGATATAACACAATTGGCACACGCCGAAAGTAGAGCAGTAGAGTTAATTAGCGTTACAGGTCACGTTATCGAGACATTCGGAAAGTTCAGGTTAAAGTTCCGAATCGGACGTTTAATATTCTTCCACGATTGTTATTTAGTGCATCCCGAGATTACTAAGCCTAATGATGGAATCTTAGGTAGAGATGTTCTCGAAAAATACGACGTTACAATCTCGATTAAGAACGCGAAGCTTAGCTTCCCCTCAGGAGATACGGTGACCTTTTGGGGGTTAGCCGAAATAAAAGAAACCGACGACAGTTCCGATCCACGGGAAAGCATCGAAGTTAATCGCCAGCAAGCTAGCTCAAAGACACGCGAATCTTCAGAAAACGATAAAAATTTAGATAGCAATAAAGACAATAAAGTTAGAAAAAATACGGAAATGAAAAAGAAAAACAAACGCGTGCAAAAGAACAAGCGAAATTTAAAACGGAAAAGACAAAAACAAACAAAGGTTAATAGTCTAGAACAGAGAAAGAACACCTCAAAGGAAGTGACGTTAGCAGACGATTGCGTCATTCCTCCGCGATCGGAGATCATAGTAGAAGGGAAAGTCCACTCCTCGATGACTCATCAATTAGGAGTAGTTGAACCGACACCTCCCGAGAGAGAGGGTGTGTTTATTGCTCATACGTTAGTCAAAACACAGGAGCTTGGTAGAATACCTGTTAGAATAATGAACGTAAAAACACGACCAGTTAAAATAAACAAGGGAAGTAAGATAGGAAATTTCTTCTTAGCAGAAGAGGAAACAAAGGAAGAAGCTGAACAAAATAAAACAACACGATCAAACGAAAACGATTTAACCAGAGCTCAATTTGCAAATTTATTTGATTTTAGTGAAGTAGGAAAGGGTAAGCTAACACCTTTGTTAGACCTGCTATATAAATATAAGCACGTGTTTGCAAAAGATGATTTTGACCTGGGATATTGTGACTTGATAGAACACAAGATAGATACTGGAAATAGCCCTCCTATTTGTCGAGCCCCATATAAAATTCCCTATGCGCAAAGAAAAATAATGGACGATTTAATAGAAAATATGATAAAAAGTGGGGTGGTTGAACCGTCTACCTCCCCATGGTCAGCACCGGCATTATTGGTCGCTAAGAAGCCCCAAGGCTACAGATTGGTTGTAGATTACCGTCAATTGAATAAAATCACAAAAATAGATCCTTATCCTTTGCCCCTTGTTCAAGAGTCATTAAGTTTGCTAGGAAAGGCAAGATATTTTTCCACAATGGACACTTTGAGTGGATATTGGCAGTTACCACTGGACCCAGACTCAAAAGAAAAGACCGGATTCAGTACCCCGTCGGGGCATTACCATTACAACCGAATGGCTATGGGTCTTTGCTCCGCAAGCGCAACATTTCAACGTCTGGCAGATTTGATACTAACGGGTTTAAAACACAAAATTTGTCTAGTTTATATGGATGACATTCTAGTGTTTAGTTCTGACGTCAAATCGCACTTAGAGCACTTAGAATT